TTGAAGTTGCGTTGGTGTTTGTGTGTTGGTTGTTGACGGCAGTATGTGCCCCCCCTTGGTAAATGATTGCCCCCCCATTTGATTTGTTCTAGAGCCGACCCTGGTGGCTATGTAGAGTGATAGAACAGAGCAGGCACGCCCCCGAGAGAAGGAAAGCAAGTCACGTCACAAATTAGCATTTCTAAAATGTTAGCGTGGATTAATAAAAGTGCAAAAAGACAGCGGTTGTCGCCGGAAGAAACTTCAAATACAGAGAATGCTGTGCCTGTGTTGGAAATTGTGTCTGATGGGGAGCTTTCTTTGGTTGATCCTCCTGCTCCAAGTTCTAGTGCATTAGCATTAGCACTAGCTCCGCCGCCTCCTCCAGAGCCTCTAACTTTAGCTACTGCTGGCTCAACTGCCACCACCAACACCGGGCAAAGCGATGCACCGGACTGCTGGACAACGGACCAGGTGCAATATTTTTGCAAGACCAATGCATGGCTCCTTCTTAAAGATAAGAAGCTAGGATGTCGGATATGCAGAGATGTCAAATCTTTGGGAATACACACTGGACAAGGACTGAAACTGTCAACTGAATGGGGTGAGTGTGCAGTGTCTCATTTCGGTGTTGACAAGGGCAAACAACAAGCTAGCCTGAGAAAAAAAATCAAAGAACATAAAGAATCACAAGCCCATGTAAAAGCTGCTGACATCCTTACATCTGCTTCACGTGAAACTATTCAACATCAAGTGCAGTCTATGCATAAATCTGAATTAGACACCACTATCAGAGTTTTTCGAACGGCATATAAAATTGGCATACATAGCCGGCCATTCACAGACATGCCAATTGATTTGAATGTACAGAAACTGAATGGGCTGAACGTGGGCAGGGTTTTGCACTCCAATAAAACCTGTGGCGAAATCATCGACCACATAGCTCATGAGCTGAAGAAAAAAATGGCAAAAGACATTACAGAAAACCAAAGAAAACTCTGTGTTTTGGTCGATGAATCTACCACTATTAGTGGTAAAACGGTGCTTGTTGTGTGTCTACGCTCAGCATTAGCTGATGCTGAGCCCGAAACGTTTTTTTGGGAGCTGATCGAGTTGGATGGAACAACGGCTGATGACATCACAAAGGCGTTAATGGAGTGTCTTGGAAGAGATTTTAACAGGACTTTTTAGGTCAGTGTTTCGTTTCTTTTGCATGTGATGGGGCTTCAGTCATGCTAGGGAAGAGAACAGGCGTTGCTACCCAGTTGTGTAGTAAATTCCCAAGCCTGTTTGTGTGGCACTGCTCCAATCATCGTCTAGAGCTGGCAGTTGGGGATGTGGTCAAGGAGGTCTCAGGGCTCAATCATTTCCAGATCTTTTTTGACAAACTCTATTCCTTGTTCCATGCCTCCCCCAAAAATCAGAGGCAGTTAGCGCAGTGTGCGCAAGTAGTCGGACAGCGTCTCCTAGTGATAGGGCGTGTTTTGTCCATCCGCTGGGTGGCTTCAAGTGAAAGGAGCGTCAGAGCAGTCTGGGAAAACTACCGAGTGCTTCATGATCACTTCACAAATGCTGCAAACGACACGAGCAGGGATTCCAGAGACAGAGCAAAGTACAAGGGCCTGGATGATGTGCTCACATCTGCAACGTTTGTCAGCAATCTGGGACTGATGTACGATGCGCTCACAGAGCTCAGCGACCTCTCTCGGCAACTCCAAAAAAGAGAGATGACACTGCCTACAGCAGATAGGCTCTTAACTCGAGAAATACGAGTTTTTGAATCCATGGTCACCATGCCTGGCCCACACATGACTACAGTTCATACAGCTCTAGCTGAGAAGTCCTTCAAGGGTGTTGCCCTGCGTGAGAATGGCAGGCTTGTACAGATTCATGCAGGTCAGTTTTTCCGCAGTATGGTAGAGAATCTGAGACACAGAATGACTTCCACAACCTCCTCTCATGTCAGCACAAGAGAAATCCCATTACATGGCCGGGAGGCCCGGGACAATCAGCTAATCCAGGACATGAAAGTTATCCATCCTGGAAGTTGGCCTGAAGAGGAGTTAGACGTACAGTATGGGGACGTAGAGGTGCTACGTTTGTGCGAAGTGTTGAAAGTGGACAGAAGAGAGACTGTTCAGGGCTTTCGCGAATACAAGGAAACCAGGGCATCCCGTACACCTGCTGCCATGGAGCCTCTACTGAAAGCAGTCCGAACCATCGCTGTCTCCTCTAGTGAGTGTGAGCGGGCATTCAGCTGCATGAACGATATCCTTACTGCAAAAAGGAATGCTCTCTCTGTCAGCCGACTGTCCAGCCTGGTTTTCATTAAATGTAATGGACCATCACTAGGACAGTTCAATCCGGAACAGTATGTGAGGTCCTGGCTGGCAAAGGGAAGGAGAAGTGCTGATGAAAGAGCCTGTCCAGCTCCAGCCCCTGATACTGATGTCCCCAAGGCCTTCTGGAGCCTTTTCTAACAATGTGAAGTATATTGCAAAGCAGCTCACCCAGTGAGAAGACTTTTGGCATAATGTGCCAATTATACAGATCCTGGAGATAGAAGGACTTCAGACCAACCAGGGAGTTATCTGATCAGCTTGGTGTTCAATGTAACTCTTTACCATGGCTCAGACTTTGTTACTTGCAGTTACAGTTTCTCATTTTAGATTGTGCAAATTTTGCATTTGTTTTTACATGTTCTTTGTTCATGCTCTTTATCATTTTTCTGAGTTGGAAAGTTAGATTGCATCATAGTTTACTTTATACATATTTGTATTCTTCAGTGGTGAAGTATATTGCAAAGCAGCTCAGCCATGTGAGAAGACTTTTGGCACTTTTTCGTTTTTCGTTTTCTGAGTTGGAAAGTTAGATTGCATTCAAAATGTACAGAAATACTTAATTTTGTTAAAGCTTTTTATAAAAAATGCTTCTGACCAGAGCTTTTTTTCCTTGTCATTAATGTTGAACACCACCAGAGGGGCTCTCACCTGAAAGGTCTCTGCTTCATGTGTCTTCAGCAGAAGATCTAGACTTTGATTGCTATATTTTCAGTTAATATTGACCTTACTGAGCTTTAGCCATATCCGCTGCCTATCATAAAAAATGTTAAGTACAGTGAACCTTTCTAAAATATACAGTAGTAAAGAGACAAACCCACCAGCATTATAGTAGCCAAATTCTTGTTTGTGGGCTGTATATATAAAATTGACTTGAAAAAGTTGCTGATTTTAGAGTACTGGCACCTTTTTCATTCCAATTCAAGCACTGGGCGTTACCACGGCGCTCATGGGCTTATTGTCACCATGTGTAGGTGGCGTATCTCGGATAGAGGAATGCCGCGAGGTTTGTGGTTTAATAACCGAAAGTTATAACCACCAGAACCCTGCAGCGAACCATGCTGCCTACTAATCACCAGATTGAAGGCAGCTGGTGTAGTTACTGTGCTCCGCAGCTTATTAATCGATAGATTAAATGCGCAGGCTTTTGTAACGAATCCTGCTGGCTATTAACCGATAGGTCATAGACAGCTGGTTTACCCAGAGTGGGGGATATGTGAAACACATTTGAAACTGATGACTCAGCCAACATGTTGGAAAATAAGCTTATTTTTATTTTCCTCACACTCCCTCCCAAACCGTCAAGGCCGCTCTGTCTCCTCGGCGGCTCTCATGGAGCAGACGCCGAACGGGAGTATCCCCGTAGGTGCAGGACGGTGCCCTGGAGGTGTGGGCCGGTGCCCCGGCCGCCGCTGACGGACGATTCTGACGCCTCGGCTGCTGTTGCTGCTGGTGTCTGTCCGTCTGCCGCTGTGGCCGGGTCGGCTGCTGCTGCCGCCGCTGGTGTCGCTGCTGCTTCACCGCTGGCTGGAGCCAGCCGACGTGCTGGCGGATGTCCTCCGCCTGCTCCGATGCCGCCTTCATGGAATCAACCATGGCCAGGAACTGGGGCCCGAACAGCCCGTCCGAGCTGATCGGAGCGTCCAGTAAAACCTTCCTGGCTGGCTCTGTGACCGCTGCCTGCTGTAACCAGAGGTGACGCTGGATCTGTGTCATCCAGGCTGCTAATCCTCGCCTGGGACACCGCCACGGCTGCGCACAGCGAGAGCGCCGTGCTGGCCGCCTTAGCGATCTCCTCCGCCTCCTCTGGAGCCACGGTGGTGTGTTCTGGATGGGTTCCTGCCCACCCCAGACGTCTTCCTCACCCGCAGCAGCTAGAGCGTCCGCCCTTCGCTTCCTGTCGGACGAAGGAAGACGCACAAAGTGAGGACATGCGACCTGCTGGCTGAGAGCCGCGTCCGCGTGCTCTGGCCCCAGACAGGCTGCGCATATCGGATGCAAATCGTAGCTCATAATGTAGCCCGTATTGCCCGACGGGCACATACGGACACACTCTTTATTGCTCATGATGTTGCTTTTCTCGTGCTTCAGTAAACTGCTGGTTGTTGAAGAAAAGAGGGAGCAGATCGCCGGGCAACCTCCCTATTTATACCGGAAGGAGGCCCGAGGGTGGGGCCCACCTAGCGGGTGGGCGTGGACTACAAGTGTTTTCAGTACTGCGCGGGGGCGCAGAAGGGTAAACCCAATAGCGATAGCCTTAGAGGGCGAAGCCATATACGAAATAGAACAACATTTTAAAAATCAATATCTTTTTTTTAACAAAGTACATTTTTACAAAACAAAACAATGTGAAACAACTTTGTAAAAATATTTTTGTTGGGCCAGACAGCATTTTATTTGAGAATCAAAGTGTTGATAGGGGGAGAGTGATGACACGTGTTAACAGGCCACAAGCCTCAGAGCATGGGGCACCATCTCTAACCACTGAGCCAGAGAAAGAAATACTTCATGTTTTTTAATTGTTGTTGTGTCTTGTCAAAGGTTTTTATGTTTTGACTTTCAGGGCCACCATAGCAGTTTGTCTCCTGCTTAAAAGTAAAATAATATAATAGATAAAAGAGTATTACATTTCAGGTGTTACAATGTAAGACATTCATGATAACACTGAAAAGGGATTCTTACTTTTGTGGTGTAGCTCTTGCCACCGATTGCATCTGTTTTAGCTCGATCAGTTATTTCCCCTCGTAAAGCACTTTCCACAGAGTTGATGAAGCTGGACTTGCCAGCACCAACAGGTCCATAGAGCATAAATCTGAGCTGGACATTATCTTTAAAAGGCTTGTAATCCTCCACAAACTTCAAGTCTACTGCTTTTTTTCTGTTCAATGGAAAATAAAATCAGTTGATTATAATGGTGTCACTGAGACCCAAGAAAAAAACACATCATGTTTCTAAGAAGTGACAACAAATAGAAACATTTGCATAACAATGGTCAGTCTCAACAAAAGAGTGTGCAGGTTCATTGTTGTGCTTTTAAAAATTGTTATTTGAATAAAAGCCACTAAACACCACATTGAAAAAAATGAACTCACCCCCAAGGACCGTTCCTCCATTCTTGAGGCAGAACTGAAAAGTAAAGTGAACATTTGCAGTAAAACATTAGTCCCATTTTGATTGATTTAATCTATTAACACTAGAACCGCCAACGGGTAAATTTTACCTGCAGCTGTTTTTTGATTGTATGTAACTTTTTTTCCATAGCATATTAAAGTCTCCCAGTCCGTGACTTTTCCTGAAAGTGTGTTATGTAGCACCCTCTGTTGTTAAAAATTGTCAATAAGAAGTCAGATTGAAAAAATCGCCAACAAAATTGCCATTTATACCCATATCCGCCAGCGGGTAATATTTACCTCATAGAAAATGCAGCGTAAACATGACGTGTTGCTATAGCAACGCCTTTTGTCTACTGCGGTTCCTTATAGGCTAGATAGAGAGATAGAGATAGATAGATAGATAGATATAGATAGATAGATAGATAGAGAGAGAGAGATAGTTATAGATAGTGTAACATCTTGCAGAATACAAGATCTTGGATGATTGAGCTCACCTTGAGGACGTAATGCATGTGTTAAGTACCAGTTGAATAAAGATGGACACTCGGAATGAGAGAAGTAGTCCGCGTCGTCTGTTAATGTAGACAATTATATGTCAATAGAACAGAACATTACAGATGGATCGATAGATAGTTATAGATAGATAGAGAGAGAGAGATAGAGAGATTTGTACCTAAACAAAAACACAAGTCTAACACCAAGCGTTTAAATCAGCACTGGTAGCGATATTTTATATTTCATGCTATCTGCACAAACTATATAATATGAAAAGCTGAGAGTCCACAGATTCTATTGGTATACGTTTCATCCCTGTGCGATCAAAACTCACTGTTCTGTATGATAAATAAAAGAACATTGTACCTTGCAAATCAATAGCGGGTACATTTTACCCGTTGGCGGTTTTAGGTATACAGCGACCTCTGGCAGTTCTAGTGTTAAAGGTGGGGTAGGTAAGTTTGAGAAACCGGCTCGAGATACACTTTTTGTTATATTCCATGGAATGCTCTTAACATCCCGATATCAATGAATATCTTAAGTGCTTTGACAAAAAATCCATTAAAAAATGTCATCTGTGGAAGCCATGGTACTGTAAAAAGCACGACCAATCATTTTAGCCGGCCCGGCTAATGTAACTGGATGGCCTACCTGCCTGTCAGCTTTCCATCTGTGCACAAACTTATCTCGTGCCCTCATTGGTCATGTGCGCGTTCGTGTGTGTTGGAGCAACCCAGTCTCACGGCATTTCGTGTTCACCAACACGATTTTTAATCTATTGATTCGTGTTCACCAACACGATTTGCCCCTTTTTTTCGTGTTGCAGCACGATTTTAAAAGCAATGTATTTCTACTGCCTGCAGCACGTCTTTTTCTCTGGTCGGGTCGTGGGAGACCGGAAGCTGTGTGGTTCATAAAAACATGTTCTTACTCAATATCAAGCCACAATTATTGCTTTTATTTTAAATCGTATAATTTCGGACTTTTGTTGCCGTCTGTGAGGAAAATAAATGGGGCTCAGAGCCTCAGAATACGGAAATCTGTATTTTTAAATATTTGTTTCCTTCTAATTCGTTATTCTTTTCAAAATAACACACTGTTATTCACTCACCAATAACACACAATTATCCTTGCTTTTATTTATTGGTTTAATTCCATAATCTCGGGCTTTTTTGGCGTCCGTCAGGAACTGATTTTCAAAATAAAAATAACCGGAAACAGACGTAGGCCTATAAGGGACATTTCGAGCATCATTGCGATTGTCAACATTTCTGAGTTTAGGATGGCCAAAGACACTACACTACCCATAATCCCCAGCTATCGTGACAGTCTTTCTCAAAGAGTGGTCCGCGAGCGGCCCCAAGTGGTCCGTGAGTATATTGGTAAAATGCCACATTTGAAATTCATATATATTATAAGTTTAAAGTGTTTCTCAAACTGTTAAAAAATTACTAGTATAGAGTGTATCATAGATGTAGTGTATGTACGTAGGTACGTAGGTACGTACGTTTGTTTTACGTCTTATGTCATAAATGATCTGCGCGGTCAATTTGAGCGGTCAACTAAAAAAAATAAACAAAAGAACGGTCAACTGACAAGATGGATCGATGGCTAAAGACAGGGTCAGTTAAAAGAAAATTAAATGAAAAATCGGATGCAACAGTCAAGGTGCATCGTCCTGATGCAGGTGATTCAGCAGCAACAAGTGCTTTTATGTGCGTTACTGAGTCCCAGGAGAGTGGTTCATTGTCTAATAACCACCCGGCTGAAAGCTGTGAAACTCGGCTTGAATGCAGAAAGTCCAGCGCTAAAGTGAAGAGAAAATATCACAGCGACTACATCAAATGTGGCTTTTTTTGGAGTGGAGATGACGAGGATCCCAATCCACAATGTGTTTTGTGCTACGAGTCGTTGGCGAACGAGGCTATGAAACCTGCCAAGCTCAAGCGACATTTTGAAAGTAAACACAAGGATTACATTGGGAAACATTTGGGAGTTTTTGAGAGAAAACTTGATGAATTTAAGAAACAAATGACGAAGTCGCCCTTACAGTTTTTTGTACCGGGGGAAAATGCGAAGGCTACAGAGGCATCATACAGGGTATCCCTTCTAATTGCAAAAGCAGGAAAACCTCATTCGATAGGTGAGAATTTAGTCAAACCAGCTGCCAAAGTTATGACTAACATATTGTTTGGGGAGACCGCAAGTGACGAAATTAACAGGGTCCCACTCTCTAATGACACTGTCCAGCAGCGAATAACAGCCATGGCTGAAGATGTGAAAAATCAGCTGATCACACGTTTAAGCCAAAGCCAGTTTTTCACACTGCAGCTGGACGAGTCAACTGATATCGGGAACGAGGCAAATCTGCTGTGTTTTGTAAGGTATATTCATGCTGGCGGTGTGCAGGATGAATTTCTTTTTTGTCGTTCCCTGCCGACCAACACCACAGGGGAAGCCATTTTTGACTCGGTCAACAATTTCATGGTGCAGAATCATATCGACTGGACACGATGTGTTGGTATTTGCACAGATGGTGCGACTGCAATGACTGGAAAACATAAGGGACTGGCAGCGCGCATACGCGCAGTTGCACCTTGCGCCACAGCAACACACTGTTGCATTCACAGAGAACAGCTGGCTGTGAAGAAAATGCCACCATGCCTCAAATCAGTACTGGACCAGTCTGTGAAAATTGTGAATACAATAAAAACCAAAGCACTGAACACACGTCTTTTTAAAGCTCTGTGTGAAGAAATGGGAAGTGAACACACAAAACTGCTTTTTCATACTGAAGTTCGCTGGCTGTCGCGTGGGAAAGTTCTCACCCGTCTATTTGAACTGCGCGATGAGGTGATGTTATTCTTGCATCATACTGATGAACTGTATGACAGACTGCATGACTTCCAGTGGCTCTCACAATTGGCATACCTGGCCGATGTCTTTAGCGTTCTCAATGCTCTGAACTTAGCGCTGCAGGGGAAAGCTGTTACTGTTTTCAATGTGCAGGACAAAATTAAAGCTGCACGCCTCAAGATGGAATTGTGGTGTGTCCGTCTGGATCGCCAGGAGTTTGACTGTTTTCCGACGCTGGCGGATTTTCTCCTCGCTGCAGATGAAGAGCTGGACGGCGGCACAGTTGCAGCCTTCAAGGAACATCTGCAAGGCCTTCACTTTCAGCTGGGAAGATATTTCCCAGAACTAGATGCAGGCTTTGAGTGGATCAGGAATCCATTTGGGGACAAAACACACATTGAACATGTCAGTTCCAAGCTCCCACCGAGACAGGTTGACAGCCTTGTGGACATCGCATCTGATGGGCCACTGAGGACGACTTTCAGAGAGAAAAGCTTGACAGACTTTTGGGTCCACGTCCAGCCTGAGCACCCAGAGCTGGCTGACGCTGCTCTGAAACAGTTGATGCCGTTTACAACCACCTACAACTGTGAAGCTGGTTTTTCTGCACTTGTTGGTCTGAAAACAAAGCAGCGTAACAGGATCAATGTGGACTGTGATATGAGACTCAAACTCTCCAGTTTGGATCCCGACATTGTTTCACTGATGTCTCAGCACAAGCAGCACCATTCCTCCCATTAGTTGGCAACAGAGACACGCAGTGTATGAGTGAGTAAACAATGCTATTTGTAAATGTAACAGTGTAAATAATTATCTTGTGTTTATTGTTAAATTCCTATTTAACTTGCGGCTGCAACCATAGTTTTACTGTATTTTATTTTGAAAATCCGCAGCGGAAGTTTGTCGTACTAAATGCGGTGTATTTTGCATATCTCTCAGTAGCAAACGATCTTGCTGTCAGTAAATTGCGGCTCTGTTCGCACGGACATTAACTCCATAATAAATGTAGTCTACGTTTCATATGATGTGTCAAATCTATCAGCATTTACCGTTTAAATCGCATATGAACAAAATGCTTGTAGAATCTGTAGTTGTTTTGTATTGTCGATTTAATGTGTGAACGAGCGATAGAGAAGTTCACACAAAGTTGTCATTATTATGCTGTAATTTTTAATATACTGTTGGAGTGGTAAACAGGCTTATTATTTTATTTAGGATATTTGGGGAGTTAGGTGGTCCGCGAGTGTTTTATTATTGGCTAAGTGGTCCGCGGTCTGAAAAAGTTTGAGAAACACTAGTTTAGGACTACAGTCCCCGTAAGGTTACGCAGAGCGTCAAACAGCTGTGTGAAATGGAACGAAACCACGCCAGACTATCCAAAACTGGAATCGAACGCCCCCCCAGAACTACACAAACTGGCTATTGTGTTTCGCAAAATATTCTATGGGACGTCTCTACTGAACGTTTTCGTTTTTCCCACAATTAGAAGTTGCCAGTATTAAACACATTGGTGTTATCAAATGTAAAACATATAATTAATAAATGGGTGAAAATCGCTTGTGTCCATAATGCGCAGCATTAATACCCACATGACAGCTCATTGTTACTTTGTAATTCTACTACAATTCAGAGGTTAACCTGGTATTTTTACTCCACTGCATTTATTTGAGTTACTTTGCAGATTCTGATTAATTATGTGAAATATAAACAACCCTTAAATCAGACTTTAGTTACACCTGAGTAAAATTCAGGTAAGGTGATTGTCAAGTGCCAACAATCAGGAGAGATATTTGATAGGTGGTGCTTGAGAAGACTAAACATGTATCTGCAATTGACATGAATGGAAACGAGTAATAAAGTATATTCATTACTCGTTATTCTCTACTAATAGTTAATTAAAGACTGTATATTATGTCATATTCTGCACATTTCTTATTCTATCTACATACATAAGAGTATAATTCATATGTATAATATCAGTTAAAATAAGTGCTTCAACATAGTTAACATTGCAGGAAAGCAATATATTAGACGTTAAGTACTTTGTCAGGCTTAATATTTATCTGTAGATAGATACCCCCAAAGTTTTTTTCTTATTTAAAAGAAGACCTTAATCTGTTATTTAATGTTTAAATAAAAGTTAATTCATTTTTCTGTTTTGCACCTCCTCCTATTAATATCTTTGTACATTCTGGACTAAACTGTTTTATTGTAGAGATCACTTATAGTATCTTCTTGATTTTTTATATTCTATATTTATACTTTCCCCCTATGAAAGTATGTACTCTTAATATTTTTTTAATCAAATAAAACACAATAATTCAATAACGTGCTTTAACCACTAGGAGGTGCACACAAGGTACACACAGCCATAATAACTTTGTATTATTAGTGTAGGACACTTGTGTTTTCGTACAACATCTGAAGATGTGTAGTTTTATGCATGCTTTCACATAATTTTACAGCATATTGCTATACTATTTCATAATCTGTGAATTAGATCAAATGTAAAAGTCAGCCGAATTAGTGTTGATACTGCAAGGAGACGTATTGTGTGAAGAGAAATTGAAGATGTTGTTTAATTGTTGAATATATTTATGATCCACGTCAAGTATTCCGTTTCGGCGGAATTTTCTCAGTTTTTCCAAAGGTCTTCTCATCAGGGCTCTATAAATAAAGAACTACGGCAGATCTGTAATATACAATGCAGCCAAACCGTGTATTACAATGCCGTTATGTGATGACTTTCAAAGAGAAAAGCAAGAGTGCTCGGAATTAAGTATTATTTTATTCTTTTAAAATGTTTTCCGGATTTCATATCATATAAACACCAAATCCCAGCAAGCATTGCGGCTAAAAACATCCAATAAGCGAGCTTAAAACCATAGCTGAGGATCTTGGGTAATCGCTCGAAATGCCTACGTCTGTTTCCGGTTATTTTTATTTTGAAATTCAGTTCCTGACGGAAGCCAATAAAGCCCGAGATTATGGAATTAAACCAATAAATAAAAGCAAGGATAATTGTGTGTTATTGTTGAGTAAATAACAGTGTGTTATTTTGAAAAGAATAGAAGGAAAAAAAGATTTAAAAAATACAGATTTCAGTATCCTGAGGCTCTGAGCCCCATTTATTTTCCTCACAGACTGCAACAAAAGTCCGAAATTATACGATTTCAAATAAAAGCAATAACTGTGGCTTGATATTGAGTAAGAACATGTTTTTATGAACCACACAGCTTCCGGTCTTCCTCGACCCTACCGGAGAAAAATACGTGCTGCAGGCAGTAGAAATACATTGCTTTTAAAATCGTGCTGTGCAACACGAAAAAAAGGGGCAAATCGTGTTGGTGAACACGAATCAATAGGTTAAAAATCGTGTTGGTGAAAACGAAATGCCGTGAGACTGGGTTGGTTGGAGGAGGGGCTCTGTAAGGAAGTGGCAGATTTGTTTCGGTTGTGTATTTTCAAATTCTAGCGCACTCGAGCTGGTTTCTCCAAAATTACCTACCCTACCTTTAAGCAATGTTTAGAAATATGTTACTCACCTTTTGGAGTAGGTGGAGGTAGGTGGGAGTAGGTGGTAAGTGAAGTGCGAGGTGTAGGAGAATCATTGAGAGATTTGACAATCTTCCAAAAGTCTGCACAGGAAAACCTTTCATCATTTATTAATATATTAAAGTCTGTTGAATTGTTACTTCAGAAAATATACAACAAATAAAGTTCATTCAATTTGAACAGTACAAAGGTAAAATAACCAACAACTGTAAAAAGAAAATTACTTTCACTTGATCAAAAGTTAAATTGTCCCGCTCATCAAATCCACACATGACTTGCTTATGAATTTACACTATATACTTGTATACCTCTATTAGGCAATGTTTGAAACATTTTTTAGTTACTTACCCATTTTAGAAGTCAGCAGGTGAGGTGAGGGGGAATTCGATTGGTCGTTTTCTATGGCTTTAACAACAAATTGTTGTAAAAACAACAATATCAATACAACATTTGAGATAAAATATTTCACAACATTCATCATGTATAGTAAAGTATTTATTATTATAATTATGTATAATATTGTAAATCCCTTTGTTTTGCAACTTCTCATACTGACTCAAATGTGCTGCAGGAAAATCTTAAAGTCTGTTTAATTGTTACTTCAGAAAATATATAACGAATAAAGTTTGTTGAAGTTAAAAAGTACAAATGTAAAATCACAAAAAACTGTAAAAAATAAATAAATCAAATCAAATATAACTTTATTCACTCCCTATCCAGATAATTATATATTTCACAGTACCTTTCATTTACTCTTACTCACTACAAACAAGCAGCGTTTTGGAAAATGTGGTTTTTGTGCAGGTTATAAAGAGATTAAATCAAACGAAATAAACACCCAGAGCTAGAAAAATATAGGTTTATATATATTTCCTTTTTTTCTAAGTGCTGCTCTACAAAACATTAAAGGTTTGAGATAAAAACTAATGTTAACATACATACAGTAATTATCTCTATAACTGTGCTACACAAGAAGGATAACTATAATCAAAATGATGAAAGCATAACAAGAATTGGGAAGTGATAGAAATCCTCACCTTCAGGTACTGTATGTGTCTCTCACCCAAGTGCCTCTCAACTCGAAAGGAAAGTCTCTTTTATATGGTAACAGCTGCTCACTTTCACTTTCATGTTCAGTTATAGCACACCGTGACTTAAAGGAATTGCCTTTATCGATGTACAACTTAATGTTTACTGACCTCATAAAGTAAAGTTGATTTCTCTTTATTCATTCACAAATGACAATAGTACACTTAGTCACAACTGAATGACTGGATGCATTTAGTCTGTGTCAGATCCAACAGTAGACCTCTTCACCCATTTTTTAAAAATTGAATCTGAAAGTGACTTTAGAACTTAAACACACTTTCTCATGAGTTTACCCAAATACTATTGAAATACAAAAACATGGTTTGAATGTGAAGTGTGTCCAGTATAGCTGTTATATTCTGGTTTGGTGGTATCTACAGTTTCCTTTAGATCACATGATTTAAAATAATCCTGGGAGAAGGGAGGGGGTGGGCTTGCAGGGCTGCAGCTACGGATGTTTTCTCAACAGCCCGGTTCTATTTTTGGCATTGCACTCTGTCATTCTGTGTTATGTGCTGTAGTATTACTCTTAACCTCGAGAGGCAGCAGCATTATGGAAAAAATACAAATAATGTATATGTAGCAATACATCTAAAATGTAATTAGAATGTTTTTTATTAAGATAAGTAACTGTTTGAAATTGAATTTAAGAAATATTACAGACTAAACATCATTTATGGAATGTATCTTGTCAATGAAGTTTATTTTAGGAGGAAACGTGTGAGTGGAGAGTCAAGATATTTTATTGCCACAGTATATCATGGTATTGGCAGGGGAGTTGTGTTGAAGCTGAGCTGGTGCTTTCAGTAAAGATACTGCTGTTAAATGTGAAATGAAACGATAAAAGCTTTGGATAAAAGCATCAGCTAAATTAAATTAAATGTAATCTCATATCCCAATAGTGTGATATGGCATCAGTGTTATTGTGGCTGCATTACAGTAAGGTGATGTCATTTTCTGAGTTGTTGTATAATATCTTTCTCCAAATTGCTTATTCTAAATCTACTTAAAGAAAATGTATGAAATTGGAATGAATGAATGAGTTTGTAGCATTTATGATTAGAGGGACATTTCTAAAGACATTTAAGTAGAGGCATTGTTACTGAGTGAAATGTCAAGTTTGCTGTTGTTAAACCATACGGTACAATTATTCATTTTGGGTCATAGCATTAGAAGCAAAACAGCAGAGACCACCCAAAAATGATTTGCTGCGTGTCAACAACCCAAATAAATGTGCTGCCTTGACTATCCTATACATTCATATAAAGTTTGAATATATATGTTTCAACCTTACTTTTTCAGCAATGAGGATTTACACCAAATGACTACAGTACACACTAAGTCACAAATGAATGTGTGAATGCATTTATTGTTCAAAATATTATTGGTGAGAATCAAAGGATTGTAGATCAACAGCTTCATCTTCATCTTTACAGAAATCAAAGCATTCAAATGTAACCATCCTAGAATAGGCACACTGTGTAAAACAGGCACTGATTATCATGACTTTGCACCCTCTCAATGTAACAACAAAATATGGACTCACCAAATATTTAAAAAAATTAATGTACATCATTGTTGAACCATTTAATGCAAGCACAAATAAGAAACACCATGTATTGTTTTTGAGTGTAATCACATGCATGTTTTAAAACCTGACGAGGGTTTTCTTAGAGACAAGTGAAGCTGCTTTGATCTGAATGAGCTGCAAATCACAGAACTGCTCTGATCTGTTGTCTTGATTGAAACAATTATGTTTATTATGTCATTTAAAAATATCATAATATTAAAGTTATCATTATTTGATGAATATGATCTGGTTATATTAAAAAACGTATCATTATATGCAAAACACTTTGAATCAATGACAGGTACAGCATATGTTATCATTATTCTGAACACATTTTACCAAATCTCATCTTCGACCTACGAATATTCAGATTTTTGATTACCTGGAGACGGCAATATAAATTACCACCTGAATCAAAAAAGCATATAACTAACAATATCATAATGCAACGAAAACATCAAATATAGGAAAAATAAAGCCTTTTCATACTTTACTCATTAAGGTAGAGACACCATCATTTATATTATAGATATTATGCATTACAGGCTGCAAACAAAAAACTAAAAGCCATTTTGCCCACTTCATGTAATTATCATAATTGTTAACATGACCTTTTTACATGTTGTTATAAAAAGAAGACCTGCCTCAGCAGAATGTAGTTTTACAGGTCGTTGACAAAGTCTTCTCCAGATTCAATCATCCCTGTCAGTGCGCTCAGTATCAGTGTATCTGTGTCATCATGTATGTTGATCTCTGAGTGGTAGTTCTTCACAGGAAAGATGCAGTTTTGTGGAAATCCCATCCTTCCACTCACCTCCTCAATCTACATTTAAGAATATGCTATTTAAGAAATGAAAGTGCTGATCCAAGGAGATTTTGATGTTACAATATAACAGTGTAAAACAAAATGATATTCCAACTTGAATTACAGTTGCCTAAAACTAAATTACCAATAGAAATGTACCTTTTTCTTCAGGTACTTGCTCTTATACACGTTCCTTATATCCTTGTTGACCTCTGGACAGGTTTCATCAATTCTGGTGAGAATAGCAAATTCAGGAATCCCTGCCAATACAGAGCAAAATCAGATTCAGTTAAAATAAAGTTGGTCAGGTTATTTTACTGTGTTATTATATTTTATTAGAATTATGATACATTAAATATACTTTTAAAATACAATGTATATAATTGTATTTGTTCATTTATTATCCAACCCTTACCCATATCACTGGTTGCAAGTCTGACTTCCCTCAACTGTTTCTCGAAATCCTCAGTCAGTAACTGTGATGGGTTATCATCATTCTGCAATCCTGCTATGTTGCCAGGGATGACGCAAACCAGAACATGAACTCTGTCATTTAGAGAGGGGTCTCTGTTGTAGTGTTGGTTATCCACAGAGATGGGAGAGATAGGATTGAACTGGAAAACAATGTTAAATAAAAAATAATAAAAAAATAATTTGCATGCACAAATACAATAATTTCGAATGGAGTCTCGTTAGTTTTCCATATTTCGTATTTCATACATCCCATCCATAATATTGATAGTAGAAAATGACCACAATGTGGGATTGTGTTGTACCAAGTTGTACCTGGTAACCATTCTTCACGTGTCCCTTCATGGCCAGTTTGACGTCTTCCACACAAACTCCTTTTCCTGCATCCCTCTCAAGGCCCATGATGTCATTGAAGACAAAAGGGTAATGTGTCCCTGGTACTTTTTGGATTTTGTACTCTCTGTACTGTAAGACAAAAAAAATGCCGTTATGGTTTCCCTAACCTTTATAACATAACATAATTTCACAAAACAGAACATATTTAAAAGAAAAAACACAAATCAACATAAAAAAAACAAAAACTTAAAATCTTTGGGGGGGGGGCCAGATTATCCGGTTTATTTGAGAATCAGCCTCTTGATAGGGGGGAGATAAAAAGAAGACATGTGTTAACAAACCACAAGCCAGATTCAAACTCTCATCAGCAGGGACTGAGCCTCAGAACATGGAGCACCAGCTCTAACCACTGAGCCAGAGAAAAATATGTTCTCTGTTTTTTAATTGTTGTTGTGTCTTGTGAAATGCTTTCAGGGATTCTTACTTTTGTGGTGAAGCTCCCGCGGAAGAGTGAATCTGCAGCAGCTCGATGAGTTATTTTGCCTCGTAAAACACTGTCCACAGAGTTGATGAAGCTGGACTTGCCAGCACCAGCAGGTCCATAAAGCATTAATCTGAGCTGGACATCCTTTTTAAAAGGCTGGTAATCGTTCACAATCTGTAAATCTCTCACTTTGTTTCTGTTCAATGGAAAAACAATAGACTTTAGTTTAGATTCATAATGGTGTCACTGAGACCCAAGAGAAGAAACCATACAGCAAGGCCGTAAAATCACATGCGACCCCAAACACATCCTGTATAGAGAGTTTGAGTTGCTGCCCTCGCGAGGGCAGAAGGTACAGATTACCAAACTGTAAATTGAACAGGTATAAGTTTTCCTTTGTTCTGCTGTCAATCAAGCTGCTGAACAGTCAGAAACAATTGTGATTATGCTGTTAGGAGTTGTTGGGAGGTGCAATGTTTACAGTGTAGTTTGTGCAATCGAGAAGATTAAATAGGGGAAGTGCATCATGTGTAAATAGGTATGGAGACAATAGGGAAAAGTGCAATATTGATTTGTGTATGAATACAATAGGGAAAAGTACAATTTGATTATGTATGTGCAATAGGGAAAGTGCTGTACCTGTATGTTTCTTGTTTGTTTGTTTGCCATGTGATATGTAATCTCTGTTCTGTATATATGACTGATTGACCTGAATGTTTTATGTGTATTATCTCAATGCCCAAGACAAATTTCTCCTAAGGGAGACAATAAAGCTCTATCTTATCTTATCATGTTTCTAAGAAGTGACAATACTGTACATAGAAAATATTACATAACAAAGGTCAGTCTCAACAAAGGAGTGTGCAGGTTCATTGTTGTGCTTTTTAAAAGTGTTATTTGAATAAAAGCTACTAAACACCAGAGACACCACACACTGAAAAATGAACTCACCCCCAAGGAACGTTCCTCCATTCTTGAGGCAGAACTAAAAAGTAAAGTGAACATTTGTAGTAAAACATTATTCCCATTTTGATTGATTTAATCTATTACGCAATGTTTAGAAAAATGTTGAGTTACTTACCTTTTGGTGGGGGGGTACTAGATTGGAAGATTCCCATGGCTTCAACAAACAATTGTTGTAAAAACATTATCAATACAACATTTGAGATCAAATATTTCACAACATTCATCATGTATAGTAAAGTATTTATTATTATAATTATGTATAATATTGTAAATCCCTTTGTTTTGCAACTTCTCATACTGACTCAAATGTGCTGCAGGAAAATCTTAAAGTCTGTTTAATTGTTACTTCAGAAAATATATAACGAATAAAGTTTGTTGAAGTTAAAAAGTACAAATGTAAAATCACAAAAAACTGTAAAAAATAAATAAATCAAATCAAATATAACTTTATTCACTCCCTATCCAGATAATTATATATTTCACAGTACCTTTCATTTACTCTTACTCACTACAAACAAGCAGCGTTTTGGAAAATGTGGTTTTTGTGCAGGTTATAAAGAGATTAAATCAAACGAAATAAACACCCAGAGCTAGAAAAATATAGGTTTATATATATTTCCTTTTTTTCTAAGTGCTGCTCTACAAAACATTAAAGGTTTGAGATAAAAACTAATGTTAACATACATACAGTAATTATCTCTATAACTGTGCTACACAAGAAGGATAACTATAATCAAAATGATGAAAGCATAACAAGAATTGGGAAGTGATAGAAATCCTCACCTTCAGGTACTGTATGTGTCTCTCACCCAAGTGCTTCTCAACTCGAAAGGAAAGTCTCTTTTATATGGTAACAGCTGCTCACTTTCACTTTCATGTTCAGTTATAGCACACAGGAATTGCCTTTATCGATGTACAACTTAATGTTTACTGACCTCATAAAGTAAAGTTGATTTCTCTTTATTCATTCACAAATGACAATAGTACACTTAGTCACAACTGAATGACTGGATGCATTTAGTCTGTGTCAGATCCAACAGTAGACCTCTTCACCCATTTTTTAAAAATTGAATCTGAAAGTGACTTTAGAACTTAAACACACTTTCTCATGAGTTTACCCAAATACTATTGAAATACAAAAACATGGTTTGAATGTGAAGTGTGTCCAGTATAGCTGTTATATTCTGGTTTGGTGGTATCTACAGTTTCCTTTAGATCACATGATTTAAAAGAATCAGGGGAGAAGGGAGGGGGTGGGCTTGCAGGGCTGCAGCTACGGATGTTTTCTCAACAGCCCGGTTCTATTTTTGGCATTGCACTCTGTCATTCTGTGTTATGTGCTGTAGTATTACTCTTAACCTCGAGAGGCAGCAGCAGTATGGAAATAATACAAATAATGTATATGTAGTAATACATCTAAAATGTAATTAGAATGTTTTTTATTAAGATAAGTAACTGTTTGAAATTGAATTTAAGAAATATTACAGACTAAACATCATTTATGGAATGTATCTTGTCAATGAAGTTTATTTTAGGAGGAAACGTGTGAGTGGAGAGTCAAGATATTTTATTGCCACAGTATATCATGGTATTGGCAGGGGAGTTGTGTTGAAGCTGAGCTGGTGCTTTCAGTAAAGATACTGCTGTTAAATGTGAAATGAAACGATAAAAGCTTTGGATAAAGCATCAGCTAAATTAAATTAAATGTAATCTCATATCCCAATAGTGTGATATGGCATCAGTGTTATTGTGGCTGCATTACAGTAAGGTGATGTCATTTTCTGAGTTGTTGTATAATATCTTTCTCCAAATTGCTTATTCTAAATCTACTTAAAGAAAATGTATGAAATTGGAATTAATGAATGAGTTTGTAGCATTTATGATTAGAGGGACATTTCTAAAGACATTTAAGTAGAGGCATTGTTACTGAGTGAAATGTCAAGTTTGCTGTTGTTAAACCATACGGTACAATTATTCATTTTGGGTCATAGCATTAGAAGCAAAACAGCAGAGACCACCCAAAAATGATTTGCTGCGTGTCAACAACCCAAATAAATGTGCTGCCTTGACTATCCTATACATTCATATAAAGTTTGAATATATATGTTTCAACCTTACTTTTTCAGCAATGAGGATTTACACCAAATGACTACAGTACACACTAAGTCACAAATGAATGTGTGAATGCATTTATTGTTCAAAATATTATTGGTGAGAATCAAAGGATTGTAGATCAACAGCTTCATCTTCATCTTTACAGAAATCAAAGCATTCAAATGTAACCATCCTAGAATAGGCACACTGTGTAAAACAGGCACTGATTATCATAACTTTGCACCCTCTCAATGTAACAACAAAATATGGACTCACCAAATATTTTAAACAATTAATGTACATCATTGTTGATCCATTTAATGCAAGAAAAAATAAGAAACATCATGTATTGTTTTTGAGTGTAATCACATGCATGTTTTAAAACCTGACGAGGGTTTTCTTAGAGACAAGTGAAGCTGCTTTGATCTGAATGAGCTGCAAATCACAGAACTGCTCTGATCTGTTGTCTTGATTGAAACAATTGTGTTTATTATGTCATTTAAAAATATTGATGTTATCATTATTTGATGAATATGATCTGGTTACATTAAAAAAAAAGTATCATTATATACAAAACACTTTTTAATCAGTGACAGGTACAGCATATGTTATCATTATTCTGAACAAGTTTCAACCAAATCTTATCTTCGACCTACGAATATTCAGATTCTCGATTACCTGTGGAGAAGGCAATATAAATTACCACCTGAATCAACAAAGCATATAACTACGGATTAGGGCCACATGAAAAAAAAATTTGGAGAGAAAAATCAGAATTCTGACTTTAATCTCAGAATTCTGACACACACAACCACACCTCTACACACATCGAACTGCCCGATTATTCCCCCTATTACTCGTTTTATGAAGGAGATGTCCGGTCATCAGGGTGCATGATGCGAGTCTGTTTGTGCTCTGCTCAGCTCGCTCTGTGTGTATGTGTTCTGAGTATTTGTTTTCCTTCTATAAAAGAGCTGTGGGCATCAGATACTGTGAGAGTCATGGGCATGAATTCATAGATCAAGGCAGACTGGTTTACTGGTTTACTGTTTGCCAATCCGGTGCTTAAACAAATAGCTCAACACCCCTGGCAGAAATGTCCTAAAAATGAAGTCCGAGTCCGAATGTATGCACTGTCATTTCCCCACATAAACACAACAGTCTGCAATTAAATGGTTTTCTCCTGTGTGCTCCACGTCCTCCTTGGCGCACCGCTAACTTTCTCGAACAAAATAAATAAAAGTCAAAAATATATATTTTTTTGATCTGATAAAAATAAAAATAAAATGCTGTGTTCTGAGAAAAAAGTCAGAATTCTGACTTTAATCTCAGAATTCTGACTTTTTTCTCAGAACAAAACATTTTATTTTTACAAAAAAAATTATTATTTTTTTCAAATCCTCCAAATGTAGTTTTCATGTGGCCCTAATCCTCTTCCGTATATAACTAACAGTATCACAATGCAAAAAAAACTTCAAATATAGGACAAATATAGCATTTTCATACTTTACTCATTAAGGTAGGGACACCATCATTTCTATTATAGATATGATGCATTACAGGCTGCAAAAAAAAAAGTCTAAAAGCCATATTGCCCACTTTATGTAATTATCATTCCAGACATGCTTTTAACATGTTGTCATAACAACAAGACCTGCCTCAGCAGTATGTCATTTTACAGGTCGTTGACAAAGTCTTTTCCAGATTTAATCATCCGTGTCAGTGCGCTCAGTATCAGTGTATCTGTGTCATCACTTGTCTCGTGCTCTTCATGGTAGTTCTTCACAGGAAAGATGCAGCTTGGAGGGAAACCCAGCACGCCACTCAACTCCTCAATCTACATTTAAGAATGACATTTAATAAATGAAAGTGCTGATCCAAGGAGATTTTGCGGTTATTACAATATTACAGTGTAAAACAAAATGATATCCCAAAATGAATTACAGCTCTTTACAAACTAAATTACAGACAGAAACTTACCTTTTTCTTCAGGTGCTTGCTCTTATACACGTTCCTTATATCCTTTCCAACCTCTGGACAGGCTTCATCAATTTTGGTGAGAATAGCAATTTCAGGAATGTCTGCCAATACAGAGCAGAATCAAAATCAGTTAAAAATAATGTTGGTACAGTTATTTTATTGCATTATTATATTTGTTCTTATTATATAAAAATAGAATATATATATAATTTATGTCAGATTTAATGTTATGCATTATTGTAAAAGCCTAACCCTTACCCATGTCCCTGGCTGCAAGTCTGACTTCCCTCAACTTTCTCACAGAATCATCCTGCAATCCTGCTATGCTGCCAGGGATGACGCAAACCAGAACATGAACTCTGTCATTTAGAGACGGGTCTCTGTTGTAGTGTTGGTTATCCTCAGACAAGGAAGACCGAGGATTGAACTGAAAAACAATGTTAAATTGAATCAAAAAATAACATTAGAAATCAGAAATACAATAGTTTCTATTGGAACCTTGTTAGTTTTCCATATTTCATGTGCAAAATATTTATCATGCAGTGGGATCATGTTCCTCAAATATATGCAACAGAGATAAGGTTTAAAGAATTCAGTTGTACATTGTAACCATTCTTCACGTGTCCCTTAATGGCCAGTTTGATGTCTTCCACACAAACTCCTTCATCCTTCTCGAGGCCCATGACGTCATTGAAGACAAAAGGGTAATGTGTCCCTGTATCACCTTTTTTGATTTTGTAGGCTTTGTACTATAAGACAAGAAAGTTCCGTTACCATAATGACATGGAAGTTAGGTTGCTTTAAAGGTCAAAATGTTACATAATTTCATAATAGATAGATAGATAGAACCGGAGGGATGAATCCCCTCTTTAATGGTCACACATGCAGAGCACACAGCACACACAGTGACATTTGGCCTCTGCATTTAACCCATCCTAGTACTAGGAGTCTAGTACTAGGAGCAGTGGGCAGCTATTGTACAGCGCCCGGGGAGCAATGGGAGTGGGGGGGGGGGGGAAGGGGGTTGTCCGGTGCCTTGCTCAAGGGCACCACGGCAGGGCCTAGGAGGTGAACTGGGACCTCTCCAAGTAGCAGTCCACACTCCATATTTAGGTCTGTTCGGGGACTTGAACCGGCGACCCTACGGCTCATAGTCCAAGCCCTTTTTTTTAATCTTTTTTTTTTCATTTAACAGTTCATCACAATTACATAAAGTACTTACAGCATATAACAAAGACACACATTTAATATACCGTATAGTTTCATAATTTGTATGAAACACAGACATAAAATGATATAAACCAATAAACAAAAAAAACAAAAAAAACTCAAACAAATCAATTCAAACCAATCAAAACAAAACATAAACTGTCCGTTTTTCACTGAAACAAAGTGTCTCTTATGTTATTTTTCAAAGTTGAAGCACAGAGCTCCCTCCTCATCCAGCTCAATTAATTTGCTGCCATTTACGAAATCCTCGCAAAATATGTCCTTTTTCACGTGTATGAGAACAAGGTTTATGTCCCTTTTTGTTGTCCTCTTCATTATATGCCACACGTCAGACAATTTACCCTCGAAATGGGCAATGTTCCTCCTTATCTTGACCGCACGCCTGGCGTGGCTCAGAACATAGTTTAATAGATTCACATTGCATTCATCCTTCTTCTCAATCACACCAAACAGCCACAGCTCCTTCCATTCCATTTCTCTCACCATTCATTCCAACATCTACCAATTAACTCTTTCATCCTTCCAAAAAACACTACAAGCTCTCTACATTCAACAAACTCATGCAAACATGTTTCAACCTGGTCTCTACAAACATCACACTCTCTCTCAACAGTTGCATCAAAATGACTAATGATCAGGTTGTTAAACACCCTATTTTGCCTCAACAAAAAAATCAAAATGCTCACATTCAATACGGTTCCATTTAATTTTCACATTCTCCCACATTCTTCTGCCAGTAAGAGCGTTCACAACACTCGTCCATACTCTTTCTGATGCAGGTCTTCTGATAACATTCCCTTTTAACCATTTATACATATTTTTTGTTTAAACATTTTCTATTTTAACATTGACATCCTCTTTCCCCACATATAAATCAAACACACTTTCCTTTCATAATGATCTCACTCTCAATCATTGTTAACCATTCACTCGGCATTCCATCTTTAATTTCCTTCATCATTCGTTCAGCTGTCCCTAAATACATTACCTCATCTATTTCCCTAACCTCATCCACTATCACCTGTGCCCTCATAAAGCCTGGTACGTACTCTAAAACTAAGTCCTTAACCCTCCTCATCCACTATCACCTGTGCCCTCATAAAGCCTGGTACGTACTCTAAAACTAAGTCCTTAACCCTCCTCATCCACTATCACCTGTGCCCTCATAAAGCCTGGTACGTACTCTAAAACTAAGTCCTTAACCCTACTCATCCACTATCACCTGTGCCCTCATAAAGCCTGGTACGTACTCTAAAACAAAGTCCTTAACCCTCCTCATCCCCGCTCTCCACATCGGCAGATTGAATAAACAACACTTCTCATGAGTGATCCTGGGGTTAAGGAAGATCGGTTGCTCCCACACCTGCTGCACATTCACACACTCATACCTAACATACTTCAAAAACTCACCCCATGCACTCATTACTTCCCTTTGATAAGCACTCAACCCTTTCAACATCCCCTTTCTTAGCACCATACAAATAGCACTATCACCACATCCTCCACATTTATTTATTTTTTCCTTTAAGAATATTTTCCATAAATAGCGAACCATCATTATAATCCTAATTGCTTTAATGTTCCTTCTTAAGTTTATCAGCTGTAAACCTCCATCCCTAAACTCATTTTCTAACACTTCTCTAGCTATCCTTACCCCCTCCTATCCCATATAAACTCACTCACTAACTATCTTATCTATTTCATTCACTACACTATCCAACAACTTAAGCCCCCTCATCTTCCAAAATGTCAATGACTAACCCGATCAAAAGCTTTATTTAAATCTAAACTAACTACTATATCACCTATACCCTCCTTCATGTGAGTAATTGTGTCCCTAATACTACTAATAGTGTCACAAATATCCCTCCCTGGAATACTATACGCCTGCGTTCCCCACTACTGATTTTATAACCCTCTTAATTATATTTGCTAACACTGAGCCACTGCCGGACGCAACAACAACAACAACAACAACAACAACAACAACAACAACACACATTAAAATGAAAAACTGAGGTTACCTAACTGTAACCCAGCTTCTATGAGTATTGGCGCAGCCCTCTAAGGCTATCGCTATTGGGTTTACCCTTCTGCGCCCCCGCGCAGTACTGAAAACACTTGTAGTCCACGCCCACCCGCTAGGTGGGCCCCACCCTCGGGCCTCCTTCCGGTATAAATAGGGAGGTTGCCCGGCGATCTGCTCCCATACAATATAACTTTTCTTCAGCTATTCGTAGAGCCAGTGGGGCCCAGCGCTTAGAGGGCTGCGCCAATACTCATAGAAGCTGGGTTACAGTTAGGTAACCTCAGTTCTATTTCGTATATGGCTTCGCCCTCTAAGGCTATCGCTATTGGGTTAAGGGCGAAGCATGATGTAGTCTGCGCCCCACTGGGTCCGTCCAGCACTAGAAGCACAGACATACCTGCTTAATAACACCCCCCTGCCTGTTGTGCCATGCATAATGGCACATCCCCGTCCCTGGAGCAAACATACCTGTTTTCCTGACGGGGTGAAGGCTGGGAACAATACATACCGACCGCTGTGAGAAAGTAGAGACGAAGGTCCCACCTTGTCCTGCGATCATAGAGGGGGAACAGCCGCTCTCTCCGTGTCAGCCAGGTAGGAGAGCTCTCAGCTGGATCCCCTGGATCCCTGACGTCACTCACTCTGACAGGACACCCAGTACAGGGCGTGTCAGAGAGGAAAGGGAGACATCCCTCAAATACAATTGAATAAATGAGCAGGGGGAAGACCAAGATGCAGCCGTGCAAATATCTTCACTGACATTCCTCCGCGCAACACCGAGGAGGAGGAATTTCCTCTGGTTGAGTGCGCTTTGATATTCTCCGGGGGCTCCACCCCAGAGGAGACATATGCCTGTGACACAGCCTCACACAGCCAGTGTGACAGCCGTTGTGTAGACAGAGGTTGCCCGATCGAGCGCTCTCTGTAATGCACAAACAGGCGCTGAGAACGGCGCAATGCCGCCGTGCGCGCCACATAGCAGACAGCGCGCGCACCTGGCAGAGGAGATGAGATGTTTCTTCTTCCTCCGACCTGTGAGGAGGGGGGAAGAAGCCAGCCAGGGTGATCATTCTTGACCTAAAAGAGTTGTGATGACCTTATAGGCATGAAGCCGGGTTAGGGCGTAAAACAGCTGAACTGCATCTCCATGGATCCGGAGACATGACGGAGCCACCGGGAGAGCAGACAGATCACCCTTTCCTCTGATAGAGCCAAAAGCAGTACTACTTTGGCTGAATACAGTTAAGGGGAACCTGATCAGGTTCAAATGGGGTTTTTCTTTAGTGCGCGTAACACCAAAGCCAAATCCCACTGAGGCGCCAGTGTGCGTGACACCGGTCTGAGTCTCCATACTCCTCGCATAGCACGGCTGCTGCGTTCTGCGAGCCCCTCGGTTAAATTCGCCGGAAATAACACTGTTCCTGGGATAACGGGAGTGTTTCTTGCATCCCATGGAACTGCTGGGTGGAGAGGCTTCTCTGTGATGTGCCGTAATGGTCGTCATGGTGACGTGCCACGCCCTCGCCGCTGCTGCCCGTGAAGCAAAAAAGCTGCGAGGGAGTTTCCACACGCTGCATTCCACTCTGTCTCTCATCATGAGGCGCGTACACGCCCAGAGGATGAGAGGTGTGTGTATGCTGTCCTCACGAGGCGTTATAACAGTGCTCGTGGATTTATTATGACCGTGTGTAAGGCATATCTGGGACAGAGGAATGCCTCGAGCTCTGCAGTTTATAAACCAATAGGTTAAAACAGCAGGCTTCTGCAGTGAATGAAGCACCTCTGGAGACTCCACCTGTGGGGGAGACCCAGGGGAATCCCCCCCGTGACCAGCTGACGCTAATGCCGAGCAGCTGCGTTACGGAGAGGGCTGTGTGGTTTGTGACACGCCGGAGGAGAGCTGTCAGTTTCTCACTCGCTGCCAGAGAGCGCTCTGCTGCTGGCTGAGTTTTTAATTCCACTCCAGATAACGTTTGTCTGAGAGGGAAGAGGACAGCTCTTCTTCCAACTTGTTATGAAACCCAGGCTTTGACAGATGCGATACGAGATGTACCGTCTGTAAAGCGACTTCCTCCCTGGAGCGAGCCAGCAACTAGCAGGTCGTCCAAAGGAAACCACCCTCTCATCCCTCCTCTGTGTAGCGGCTCCAGCCTTCTCTACACAAAAATGGGAGGAGCCAGGAAATATTCAAACGGCAGACGATTGTCTGGTCTGATATTCCCTGAAATGAGAAACCGCAGGAATTTCCTATGTTTCGGGATGATGGGTATACGTGGAAGTATGCATACTTCAGGTGGAAGTGAACCAGTCGTCCTGGTGAACACATTCCAGCCCCTGTTTGATCGTCAGCATGTGGAATACTGACAGATCGAGGATGTCTCATTGCCCCAGTCTTTTTTCGGGATTAGAAAAATAACGGGAGTGAAAACCCCTGATTTTCCTCCCTTTGAGGAACCCTGGAAATATCCTCTTTCAACAGGAGTTCCAGCA